TCTTGTTCTTCTCATCACGTTTATTCAATGCAAAATTAAAACTTTGATTTCATCTAAATTTTTGATGATTTATTATTTTTAGTGTTCTCATTTTTATTTCTGTCTCAATCCTAGTTACATAGAGTAATTGTTCTGTTCATTGAGTCATAAAGTATGGATGACTATTTAGACTTGCCTATTATTCTGGCTTTAGTCATAAATGATGCTGAAACGGGCAGCTGAGGAAGGTAACTTAAGGTGTGTAGGGTAGCTCGGAATAGGAGAGGTAATGGTGCATGTGACACGATCAGGGGAGACTTAGAGGACATCCAAAGGTTTTTCTATAATGGTATTTACTGGTGTTATCTTTTGATAAGGTTAAAGAGGAAGTCTTGTAACACCTGGAAGTCTTAGTTAAGAGGAAATCTAAATATCATAATGCTGTGGACAGTTCCAAGCGAATAACTAAATTTACCTAATGCATGGTCCTACCTATAAACACTCTGCAATGATTGCACTCTTTTTTCTAATCCAATGACACACTCAATCTAATACCATAATTGATCATAAATGTTATGGCGTAACAATACTACTAAGTCAAAGTAATTTAATAGCTACAAAAATGTAACTCACAGAATGCTATCCTGAGATGTGATTTTATTTGATTTTTTTAACACTACCTTATTTTAAAAAAAGTCTCTGTGTCAGTATAGTGTTCTTTCAACCAAAATTCATTTAAGATAACCATGAGCATGAAATTATTGATTTGAATGTCAAAAAATTGATGATTGTATTGATGAGTTCTGTGACCTTTCTTCTTGTTGAATGTCACACAAATTTATATCATCATTTGATCTTAAGATGAGAGAAAGTTTGACTTGCTTATTGCTTTTCTGTTACAAATATATTCTATATTGTAAAAGTAATTATTGAGAAAAAAAAGTGACATTATGTTTCTTTCACACCATACAGCTGTGACTTCCAATTCCCTGACGTTTTTCCCTCACTCAGATTTGCTTTCCTTAGTTGGTATATATTTATTAGATTTCCCACTAGTTATTATTAGAAATAATGTTGTGAGCTGCCTACAGTAACAAAGAGTAATCTTGGTGAGGGCTGGTAGAAACTCACCTCAGTTTAGTCATGTTTGTTGACAGCTGATCGGAGAATGTAGGGAATATTGTGGCAAGCTCCACAGTACTGACCACACTAAACTACTAGTTTGGAGGGTAGAGAACAAAGACTAAACATGTTCAAAAGAACACTGCAACATAATCCAACATGTTTCTACTTCTCAGTTACTTCCTCATTTCATAAATACAGCAAAAGTCATTACAGCCAAATCTTGATACCATCATCCCTGTCAGTCATTGTTAAACTTGAAAGCCATTGATCATATCAGGAAAAAAAGGTTCAAATAAGCATTAAAGAGTTTGAAAAGTTAATTTTAAAAGCAGGTGAGGATAACTGGTATGATCGTCTTAAGTGTTGTAAAAGGCTATCGAAACTTTAATCAAAAGTAAGCTGACATCAAAGTCCCTCCTGGAAGAAGATGTCAAATTAGGATGATAAAACTAAGTTCCTTTCCTGTAGTAGAGTAGACCAGATCCAGGGCAGGTTTGCCTTGGATTTTAAATGTTAATAAGCTTCATATTTTAATTGTTTACAATGGACTCATGATTCAACAACTAAATTCAGCTTTCGTACAGCATATAGTATATACAGTATTGTGCTCTGGTCGGGCTGTACTTAGATTACTTCATATAGTTTGGGTTGCTTTGACAAGGAGCTACCCAGGATCAAGAGGCAGTGTAGAGGGGAGTGATGAGGATGATGATTATAATAATAACCATTGCATTGATATAGCGCCTTAGCACGTCTCAAAGCCCTTTATAGAATATACTGTAAAGTGAAAAGACTATATTTGTGGGCCAAATGATCCCCACTGTTAGAGGATTGAGGTATGAGCAATAATTAGCCAAGCTAAGGCTCTTCACTCTTGAACAGAGACATCTCAGAGCAGACCTTATTGAGACATACAAGATTTTAAATGAGTTTGAAAAATGTAAACCCAGACCAATATTTTTGGATGCATTGATACAGCAAAACAAGAGGACACAGGCTTAGAGTGCAATGACCAATTTCAGGAACAGACACCAGGAAGGATTTATTTTATTTGGAGGGTAATTAATGACTGGAACAGGTTACCAGGAAGGGTGGTTGAGGCCAGGATTTGGCTAAAAAATAACATGTTAATGTTATGATTGGAGGACAGTGGGGGGGCTTTCTGTTCTGGAGGGATGAAATTAAATGATCCGAAAGGCCTTCTTTGTCTGAATATCTCTTATGATCTTGAGTTTGTCTGTGTGTGGAACTGTTTCCTATTCAGCAGTTACAATGTTTCATTTATCACCATTGCCATTTTATACATTTTGATTTTTACTGCCTATATGTTTTGGTTGTATAGAAAGTTTTTCTTCCTGAATCAATTAAAAATAATTGGACTTTTATTTAAATGTAAATAGACATATCTTTGCACAGTTTCATGACCTGCAAATCTGAAGTTGTGACTTCCTATGATTGATGGTCTTTGCTAATTGATGTAATATTTCTGGTGTACTTTTACACCAGAAAAAAAATGGAAATTATCACATAATAATAATATAATAATAATCCTTGCATTTGATATAGCGCTTTTCATGTCTTCTAGACATCTCAAAGCCCTTCACAGAATATACTGTAAAGTGAATTGACTGTACATTTGTGGGCAAAATGCGGCAGCCAATTGCGCACAGCAGTGTCCCACAAACAGTCGTGGATTGAAGTGACCAATTTATTATTTTTTTCTCTTGAGGTCTGATAATGGTCTGATTCAAAAATCAAGAGTGCTACCAGCTAGCCATTGTAACTTGAGCATGCCCAAACATTTCACGTAAGTCATCATGGCTAAAACAAAAATACTTGCATAATTTTTTCCCTGAAACACCAATGGACTATCTTTATATTTCCCCTTTCAGCTTCTGCTACAGGCACCTAATTACCAAATAAATAAAATCTATTGCATAGGTTACCATTAAAAAAAATTTAAAAAGGACAATATTTACTAACATAATGCTAACATATTATGAAATGAAACACAATTCTGACATTCCGTTGCCATATATGTTATCTTGGAGCCAGTTTAGCTTAATCAGTTCTGCCTTACTTCGCACGTCCAACTGATAAATCCTAAGGTTTTGTGACAGTAAACCTTTTTTAAGGTGTTTTCACCAATTGATTTTTTTTGGTCAGCCGGGTGTGGAAAACCCATCATCATACTTAACAGTATCCAAACCAAACTGAGAGTTTCCTACATCCAACCTATACACGGAAATTCCAGAGATATTTATTGGAATAGTTTGAGGACTCTCTCTTTAGAGGTACGCATCGTGCTTCCCTAATTCAGAGACGCAAATTGGCAAGAACCAAGGCTTGAGGATCTCAGAGTGTGTGTTAAGGTACTGCTGGAGCCTAACCCAGCTAAAACTGCATAGCTTGTCATTGAAAGCACTATCTGGCAAGCTTTTCTACTGCTTGTTCAGCTGGAACTACACTACTTGTTATGGCTTTAGAGTGCAGGGTAAGAGGAGCTGAGAGGGAAGAATCCCTTCCTCCTTTGACTGGTCTGCCCTTCCAGGTCCTGACGATGAGCCAGGCTGGCTCAGCTATCATCGACAGTGCCCTGGAGTACTGTGGACCCGCCCGGCTCAGGAACTGCATTACCAATACTGCCACAGAAGATTGGCTCAATCCTGACATTCCATTGCCATATATGTTATCTTGGAACCATCTTAGCTTCATCAATTGAAACTCTGCTTTACTTAGTACGTCCAACTGAATAATCAACTTGTTTGCAATCTTCTCCATTGACTGAAAAACTTAAAACACTTGAATGGTGTTTGAGTGCAAATCAAGGTGATTTTCCTATCGATTAATTCTCTGAGAAGCGCTTAGCATCTGGTCAGCACATCCATTCAAACAGTGTGCTTGAGATCAGGAACTCATTGGTTGAAGGAGCATTTACAAACCCATCTCCCCTCATCTTATGTACCACATGCTGTTGCTCTGATACATTGCACCACCTGTGATATTGCAAATGTAAACTTCAGTTGTACAGTTAGGGTTTGTTGCATTTCCTGTGAGTTTCCAATTAATCACATATTGTGGTAGAGGTACCAAATTTTGTTTTCTAAAATAAAGTTGGTATATTAAACTTCCCCACAAATGCTACATATATGAAATAAAAGCAGAAAATGTTGGAAATTACCCAGCAATTGATCAGCCTAATAATAATATTCCTTACATTTGATACAGCATCTTATCACATCATTGAGACAATGGGCTTCACAGGATATACTGTAAAGTGCAGTGACTGTGTGAAAACTCTTTAAAGTGTTACAGAAGATAATAATAATCCTTGCATTTTGATGTAGCGCCTTATCACGTCCTCCAGACGTCTCAAAACGCTTCACAGAATATACTGTAAAGTGAACTGACTATATTTTGAGGGCAAAACTCTATACTGTAAAGTGTAGTGACTGTGTATTTTTGGGCGAACAAAAATTGTGATGAAGGATCACGCCCCAAATATAAACCAGCATTTTTGTTTCAGCTATAGATGTCCAGCACTTTCTTGTAGGTGGCTGTTATTTTGTATTTTATTTTCTACCAGGTTAAAGTGAGAAGTGTAAAATACTACAACAGGGTTTGTACAATGTGTTTCTCAATTATCATCTTCTTCCAAATGGACCATGGCACGTAGTGACCCGTCCTTTGGGACAGAGGAAATAGTTGGTCTTTCCTGCTTGATACCCTTGGCCGTTGTATATGCTAGTGGTCCCCAGATTATTGGCAGATTTTACTCTTACAATATCACCGACTAATGATGATTAATTTGTAATTTCACTTCCCATAGCTGTTAGTTTTATCATTAAAGGAAGCTAATTAATTTCCACTTGTTGGACTTATTCTTGCTTTGACAGAGCTAAGTTTCCATCTGCCATCAGATGTCTTTCTGCTTGACCGAGCTGCACCTGTGGTCCATGAGGAATACCTTACACGTCAAAGGTAATACTGGTAGTAGTATTATTATGGTAACCTGATTGTTTCTTTTCTCTCTTGCTCTCCATTTTTACATTATTTATCATAGTATATCTGTGTGTAAAACATACATTTGCCATAATGTTTAATTTTTTTCATTCTTATTAGCATAATTGAATAATCTCTTTTAGAAAGAACACAATTATATTTCGTCTTTTACACAAAACCCAGAAAATAATTTGTCTTATCTCCTGTCTCAACCATAGATACAGACATTGGCACCTATCAGTACTACGATAAAGGAGAGGCAGGTAAGATTTGATGATATGTTGATGTGTTGATTACTTTGCTAAACTTGCAAAATATCCATCCAACAGTCAGTCAGACAACTGTTAAGGTTATGCATTAATGCACCAGAATTCCAGTAGAGGGCACCAAATCACATTATCCCTGAGATAAGTACCATGTATATATAACTAGCTGTACCTGTTGCAGCTACACTTGCAACCAAAGGATCCAATACGCAATGCAGATTTCAGTATTATTATACTTTATATTATATTACTATACTTTATATTATTATTCAACTTTACATTGTACTATTATACATTATATTATTATACTTTATATAACAATAGGAGATCACCCCCAAAATATATGCCCAGGACACTCTAGAGGAATTTGTGATTTTCTCTGTTACTACTTTGTTGCAGAATACATATGTACATCATATTTTGGGGCTTAATTAAAGCAATTTTTAAATATAGCTCATCAATGATCGGAGAGCCCCAAAAGAAAATATGCCAATGACATTCTCGCAATGCAAGACCTTTCCGATGAGGTATAAATCATGTTTCTACGACAATCGATTATTGAGTTCTTGGCCAACAGACATAGATGTCTACTAATGAAATGACAGACGCACAGATGTCTACTAATGAAATGACAAATCGTCTTTATTAGTATAGAAGAAGACTAGCTGTACTCATTGCAGCTCCGCTTGCAACCAAAGGATCCAATAAGGAATGTAGATTGACACACAGACAGACACACAGCTGGGAGGACTCCTGTGGGAGGATTCCTTTTGGAAGGACTCATTGGGTGGACTCCTGGTTGGGAGGATACCTGTTGGGAGGACCGCTGTTGGGAGGTTTCCTTGTTGGAGTGCATACAAGTGTGATGAGTTTATTTAGGTCATAGCTTTCCTCTGCGCTAACTTTGTTGAAGAATATTATTAGTATAGATATATCTCTAGAAGGGTGTGTGATTTCCTCTGTTGCAACTTTGTTGCATACCTCATATTTTGGGGCTTAATTAAAGAATTTTTTAAATATAGTTCATCAATGATAGGAGATCCCTGGAAAAAAATATATGCCCATGACACTCTCCCATGCAAGATCTTTCCGATGAGACATGAATCATGTCTCTACATCAATCGGTTATTGCGTTCTTGGCGGACAGACACACAGACGAACATTTTGTCTTTATTCGTATAGAAGAAGATATAATTGTTTGAGTCTATAGCTACTTTTTTTAATTAGGCTTTAATAAGGTTCAATTCCAGGGCGAACGAAAGCTTAGGCAAGTTTCCTTACTCCACATACCTCTGTTTGCCTCGTAGTAAGTAGGAATCCGGTTGTTAGTCGATTGGCGGATCCCTCCCCAAAAAATAATAAACAATTGGTCACTCAATCCACGACTGTTTGTGGAACACGGCTGTGCACACAAAATACACAGTCACTACATTTTACAATATATTCTGTGAAGCGCTTTAAAACATCTCAACGAAGTGGTAAGGAGCTACATCAAAGGCAAATGCAAGAATTAAATGTGTTAATCCTGGGATTCTGTTTATCGGTCGGGGGAGTTGTTCCTGCTAAAATTACTTCCAGTCTGAGGGTAAGGAGTGGTAATAATATATTATCTTCACAATGTTGATGATAGATATGCTCTGTTTCTGATCTATATTTAATTTCCGTGCATTACATCATTTGATGCTTTACAGTCCGTTTCGGGCTTGGAAGACCTTTTTTAATGATGGGTTGTTATACCTCTATCATTTTGTTCAAACAATAATTTTAATTTCATTTTCCTCATTTTAAATTTCTTTAGTGTCCCCAGCAGACTATTGCTACCTAGAAGAGAAGCAACATATGACAGAATGTGAGTACCAGTGAGTCCCACAGAATACCATCCAAACTCTTGATACTTGATGACTTAAATGTTGTCTCTGTTTTGGGTCGACAAATATGCTCCCAAATGTAGTCTGTCCTAAGTAATCTTAATATCACATGTTATACTACATGACTGTGGGTGCACGTTGATTTATACGACTGCAGTGGAAAGAGAAGTTCATTTTATTCTTATACGTCTTTAACTTAACAAAGTTGAATAACAATCTAGATTCTGAATGCAGCATGAGTTGCATTGTACTTGATTAAAAAAGAATTTCCAAATATAAATCTATTTTATTCTTTAGCAAGTCACCTATCTTGCAGAAAGACTTTTAATGTCACAACATAGTATTCTTTTGATCGATGATATCACTCTTAATGTGTTCCTAAATACTCAATTCAAGGCCAGACTATCTACTGGTAATGTTATAATAAAATTCTTAGCATCGCACAACATATTATATCATGAAAACAAGCTGCAACTTTCTAAATGGGAACATTGTTCCTTTTTGTTATTGTAATAAATAAGTTGTGCTCAAATTTCTTTTGTCAGCTCGTGAATACTTATGGACACCTAAGAATAGACGTCCAGATAAACTTCGAGACACCCTCAAGGAGTTTGAGGTACCTTTCAAGTTCCGAGGTTGACAGTAAACAATTATGCTTCTTTATTCACTTTTCAACAGCTTTAATTTTTGAAAAGGACTAGCCTGCACAAAGATCATAACTAGCCTCTTGTGCAATGGCATGTTCTGAAACAGTCACAGCTTTGTTTTCAAAGCATGCTAATCTCTTCTGATTGGAAATCAGAAACACTTTAACCAGCGGTGACAATGTGTGCATCTGACATGGCCGTCTGTGTTTTGTTATCTTTCAGGAGCTGCTGCAGTGTAGCCGCTGTATACTTAGTAAATGGAAGAACAAGAACTTTTGTCAGGTGAATGCTGCAACAAAGAACTTGGGTTGTTGATTTAATTGAGCTGAACAGCTTTTCAGGACTTGGCCTTGCAGTATATAAATGGTACACGTGGCATACAACATATCGGGATGTGTTTTGTCATTTCAGATCAAGTCAGTTATACAAAATAAATTAAGTATATGGTACACAAAGTGCTATTTTGAAGATGAGTATGTATATACTTTAAATCTTTTAGTGAAGCATTAAAAAGTTTAAAGTTAATACTAAAGCATTTATTCTAAATACTAGAACGCTAATAGCTGTTCATTTCAGAATGTAAGCGTTAGATGTTGAGAAACTCCAAATACAAAATTGTTTTAAGGCATGGGAATCAAAGATATATGCAATAGAATTAAAGCTATTTTACCTTACTGTGTTTCATCAAGACATGAATCGAACAATATTGACTGAACAAGGAAAAATAATAGCATCTGGCCATTTGTTTACAAATTATTCTTGGTTTTATTTCGCTAAACAACAAATAAAATTGAGAAGTAATTGTGTAAGTGTTAAAGTTTCAATTGGGTTGGGTTTGGATGGGTTCAATCTTTTAATTTTGAACAAATCGATAATTACCTTTAATTATTGTTGTTTTAAGGAGTCCTGTTTTGAGGAGTCCTGTAGCTCAGTGGTTAGAGAACTCGCTTTGCAAGCGAGAGACCTGAGTTCAGTTTCAGGCAGGATGAAACCTTGGGCAAGTTTCCTTACTCCACACACCTAATAATAATCCCTCCAAAAAACAAAACAATAATAAATTGGTCATTTTCAATCTACGACTGTGTGTGGGACATTGCTGTGCGCAATTGGCTGCCGCGTTCGCCCACAAATATACAGTCAATTCACTTTACAGTGTGTTCTGTGAAGAGCTTTGGGACGTCCTCCCGACGTGAAAAGCGCTATATCAAATGCAAGGATTATTATTATTAAGATTAAGTTATCACAAATTGTAAGTTTTCTATAAAGGTAATGTTAGTTGAGATTTAAGGTGCATTTTTCTACATGTTTTTGGATTGATAATTTTACTCAAAAATTGAAAAATGTAACTGAACAACTGACACTTAAATGTTGAGGGAAAAAACAGCTCTAAAATGATTTAAATTATTGTTTCCATAATCACTTATCAGTCTCCCAAAATGCACTCCAATGCAATACTCCGCTGTAGAGGTGTTGTCTTAGTCGAGATATTAAACCAAAGTCCTATTTCCCTGTTCAGATAGACATTAAAGATTCTATAGTACTGTTCGAAGAAAGAAGGAAATTTCTCCCCAGTGTCGTGGCCACAATCCTCCAAATAAAATTGGTCATTCACTTCATGGTTGATTGTGGGACATAGCTGTGCTTAAAATAGCAGCCACTTTTTCGACAAAGATTGTTAGTTTACATTCATTAGATGAATCTTAATACATCCATTTATACAAAAAACCTGTACAGAACTTGAGCACGTTTTTACAAATGTGTATTGTAATAATGTTTCAGGGGTTTGCAATTGATTTGCAGCTTAGGACCAAATTAGTTTTATTGTAGTTTGATCTAGAAGATGATAAATAAATAGGAGTCATTCAAGATTCAAAATACTTCAGAGCTAAGACAATTGTATCAAAAAGGGATTCTTAATTACATTTTCCCAGGAACAATTCACTATTTAATATTCTACTGTAGTTAAGGAATTTTTAAACATTAGCATTAGATAACATTTTTATAGCTTCAACTTTACTTTGTTTTAGATTTTTCTAATTAAATAGAAAGAGCAGTTTCTGTATGTACTGTAGATTATATAGCTATGGAGAAAGTGGCATTACGGTGATAATTATATTGACCAAATATGTGGTCAAAACCAGTCATTAGTTAGGGGTGGACACCCCCTCACCTCAGACATCTCAATGATGTGATAATAATAATAATAATAATGATACTTGCATTTGATATTGCACCTTGTCGCATCTTTGAGACGTCTCAAGGTGCTTCACAGAATATACTGTAAAGTGAATTGACTGTACATTTTGTGGGTGAAACACAATAGCCGGTTGCGCACAAATTAAGGTAAGGTGCTATATCAAATGCATGGTTTATTATTATGAGAAATACATTGACAACTTTTAATTGCTTAGTTGGTTGATGTGATAATTATCACTTGTGATACTGTACTACAAATTTGACCCCATAAGACTTAAATAAAGGATTGACCAAAATAGACTGTGGTTAAGATAATGTTGTCACATTACAATTTTTCGCAAAGTTTAGAGTGAAACCTGAGTAAATAAATAATAATCCCCCCTTTCATTTGATATAGGGCCTTATCACGTCTTCGAGACGTCTCAAAGCGCTTCACAGAATATACTGTAAAATGTAATGATTGTGTATTTTGTGGGTGAAGCATTATTATTAGTTACAATAAGACAGTAGAGTTTTTTTAATATCCCTATAAAGATTGAGTGAGTGATAAAAGGGCAGAGTCTATAAGATCATAAGACGTACTGCTGGACGAAAAAAGATCAAGGTCCATCTAGTTTCCCTTCCACCTTCCTGGTGATCACATGCACATATGTTTCAAACTACCTATGTACTATATCCCATAATGTTATTTCTCAAAAGAAACTTATCTAATCTGTGTTTGAAAGAATCAACACTTCCTGCTTCAACCATATCCCTAGGGAGCGTGTTCCACAGGTTCACTGTTCGCTTACTGAAATAGTGTTTGCGTAGATTCGTTCTGAATTTACCCCCCTTCAATCGCAGGCCGTGTCCTCTGGTTTTACTATTCTGGACAAGTTGAAACAGCCTGTCATGATCTATATTGTCTTGCTCTTTTAGAATCTTAAAGACAGCAATCATGCCGCCTATCACCCTTCTCTTTTCCAGCATGATCATGTCCAATTTACTTAGTCACTCCTCATGGTCCAGTCCTTCCATTCCCTCAATCATTTTGGTTGCCCTCCTCTGTACCTTCTCAATTTCTCCAATATCCTTTTTGTGCTGCAGTAACCAGATCTGGACACTGTACTCTAAGTATAGTCTCACCAATGATTTACACAGTGGCAGGATTACCCCACCATTTTGGCTTGCTATTGATCTTTTGATAATAATAATAATACTTCCATTTGATATAGCGCTTTTCATGTCTTCTAGATGTCTCAAAGCACTTCACAGTCTATTCTGTGAAGTGAATTGACAATATATTTGTGGGCGAAACGCGGCAGCCAATTGTTGGCTGTGTTCCACAAACAGTCGTGGATTGAAGTGACCAATAGTTCTCCAAGGGTGTGGACTATAGTTTTTTATCTGTTCCTTGCCAAACACTGCTGTTTGAATTTAAAAATGCTCGTTCGGGAATAACTATCCCTCAGTAAGTAAGAAACAGAAGTCCAGAGTCTAATTCTGTTTGCACTGCCCAAATAATTAGTTTCTAATCTTGTAACATGACGCTTTTTAATATTAATATTAGTTTCTTATTTTAAATGGCTCTCTCTCTGGACAATGCGAATGGGATTCAGAATGAGGATTCGGATTGATACATCCCAACATCTAGTTTGCTTTACTCACTGCCACAGAACATTGTTGGGAGAGTTTCAATTTATTATCAATCAGTAATGTTTTACCTCTGTTACCATCCTTTAATTCTACCCAAAGTGGTTCTGTGTCTGCCCTTTCTTTTTTTATATCCTCTCTTACTTGTGTCTCAATAATGGAGTTTATATATAGTACCACACCACCTCCTCTTCTCCCGATAGAGTCCCACCTAAACAGTTTATAACCTTCCAGATGCTTATCCTATTGATTGGATTCATTCCACCATGTCTCTGTTATGCTAATGATGTCCAATCTATCACCCCCTACAAGACCTTCCAGATCATGCATTGTGTTTGTCAGACTTCTTGCACTAATGCAAGTACAGCTCCATTGTTTTTTGTCTTTCCCATTTATTTTATAAGCATTTTTTGTTTCTTTTTCACCAAACTTTGGCATTAGACCCATTATACTAGTACCCCTTAAGGTTTTCCCTAATCGGTTCGGGTGCTTACTTACACCTACCGTAACCACCCATGCCTAGTTTAAGCACTCCCTAACTAAACTATCTATCCTACCTGCCAACACCTCCACCCTCTTTTGTTTAGGTGGAGCCCATCTGGTCTGTAAAGATGTCCCCTATTCCAAAAGGTGCTCCATTGTTTGTGGAAACGAAAGCCCTGCACTAATGATTTAGCCACGCATTAGTCTGCCTAATTACCCTCTGTCTTTCCTCACTAGCACATGGTACGGGTAGTATTTCAGAAAATACTACACTTGAAGTCTTTACCTTTAGCTTCCTTCCCAATGCTCTAAATTTAGCACCAAGGATCTCTGGTCTACTTCTATCTATGTTTTTTGGTTCCTCACCTGCTTCCTGTAGCATTTGGTCAACCCGGGGTGTCAGATCCTCAACCTGTGCACCCGGTAGGCAACTTACCATTCTATTTTCTGGGTCTAGTTTGCACAGAATGCAATCTGTGAACCGAATAGTTGAATCCGTTAATATCGCAACTTGTCTTCTACTCTTTCTCTTCCTCCCTCCTTCCCTGGCAGGCTGCTCCCTTGCCTGTCTCAGACATCACTTGGGTTTCCATATAATCTCTCTCCAGAGGAGAGAAACTATTGGAGAGCACTAGGGATGCCCGCTCCTCCTCCATTAGCCAACCACGACTTATGGCCGCTTTCCTAACAGAGATCCAATCCTTTCCTCTAAGTACCGGGGACTCCTCTCCTACTATGCCCCTAGCAAGGTCTGCTCTAATATGTTATTTATAAACACTTCTCCATCCCTAATACTTTGGTGCGTGGCCAATTGCTTACTAAGGCTGACCACTTCAGCCTCGAGTGAATCTATCAGCTTACAGTTAGTGCAGATGAATCCATTCAAAACCTGGGCCTGGAAGACAAACATCGCATAACTTCTGCAATGCACAAAGTATTCAATTGTTGTATACATTATATGAGAAAATAAAGTTTTCTTACCTGCACCTTATTCCCCCTCTCACCAAATTCCTTAACACAATTCTCACTAAGTTCCCTCCTCACTCTGCTGGGCTCTCTACTCGAGTAATATGGCAGGTTCTGAATCGTCTTCAAGGAGCAGGTTTGGTGAGCCAAAAAGCCTTTTTTTGTTTCTTGCTTTCTTATGTTTTTCTTATGTTTCTTATGTTTTTCTTATGTCCATAGGCTGGACTATGGGAACTCTCTCCTCGCCGGCCTTCCCGGCACCTCCCTCCACAAGCTGCAGGTCATTCAGAACTCTGCAGCTCGTGTACTGTCCCACACCCGGCTTTGGGACCACATCACTCCCACCCTCGCTCGCCTCCACTGGCTTCCCATCCCCCAGAGGATCGAATTCAAGATCCTCATCCTCACCTACAAGGCCATTCACGGCCTTGCTCCCTCCTACCTCTCCGACCTACTATCCCCCTACCTACCTGCCCGTACCCTCCGTTCCTCTGACTCCGGACTGCTCCACATCCCCCGCCCCAACCGCCCTACCATCGGTAGCCGGGCCTTCAGCCTCTCAGCCCCTCGGCTCTGGAACTCTATCCCCCAGTGCCTTCGCCGCCTCCTCCCTTTCCTCCTTCAAGGCCGGTCTCAAGTCCTTTCTCTTTGACCGAGCCTTCAGCTCCCCTCTCAACTCTCTACCCCCTCCTCACTCCCTCCCTCCCTTCCCTCCCTCACCCTGACCATTTCCCCCCTGCTCTGGTCCTGACCCAACTGTACAGCGCCTTGGGACGTCCTCCCGACGTGAAAGGTGCTCTATAAATGGAATCTTGTTCTTGTTGTTGTTGTTTTCATTGTTTTTGAAATGGGTTTGAAAGCAGCCTAGACTGACAGAGTAATACATAGTAATACATAGTCCCACTCTCTGCTGGTTCTATTGATAACAGGTAAAATGAGTTTCTGAAGTGACAACCTGGTGTGTGCAAGTCCACAGCAGAAATGGTACCTATGCTTTTGAATGAATTAACATGAAACTTAAATTTAACAATGAAAGCTCTCAACTATTGCTTCATGGAAGTAATGATTCTTACAGGAGAATTCATGAACCAAGAAACACCAAATTTGAAAAATCCACCGTTCCACCTTTCTGCCCAGCGGTGTTTTCCTCCTACTTTTGCTATCTCATGCACTAACATTAAACACAAATAAACCATTAAAAAGGTTCATGGGTGAGTTATTAAATGCCTTTCATCTGATGCTTAGTGACATTGGGAAAAGTTCTCAGAATCTGGCATTGGTGAAAGTAAAATAAAACATTGATTTCAAACTTCATCAGACATTGCTGCATACTTGAGTTCCTTTCTGCAGTTCAAGGACAACAGTTTAACAATTATGCCTTGAAAAGTAAATAATATTTGTAGTTTTATAACCTTGTCAATGTTTGTTTCACTGTTGAGATATTGTTCTCAGATTCTGTGTCAGGGAAATGCCTGAATTATCAGAAAGATCTCAGAAAATCCAGAAAATTTGCTTGTGTTAGCACACTGTAATTTTCAGCAGAGGAAACCTAATTAGTTAAATAATACAGGGGATTTTTATTATATCCTTGAGGGAATCAAATGTGTGTGTCTGTGTGGGGGGAAGAGAAGTGGACTGTTTGAGTCCGTAATATCGTAGGTCTTTAGAAGGAACTGGATTTAAGGAGCAAAATGGACTTTTCTTATTTCATGCATTCTTCACGCAGCCTTGAAAGAAAATCACGTAGGTCATTTTAAAAATGTTCAACATTATTTAGAATGTACCTTGCAGTCTTATGTTTTCGTGGGATACAATTGTAATGTACTTTTCTATTTCAGCTTTTTTTTGGTTCAGGTGTGTTGGTGTCAATAAGCCTTTCTGGGCCACATCTGGAGAAAGTCACAATTGACAGGACCCTAGTGGGAAGGCTCATCGCTGACACCATCACTGATGGTAATTGCACCCATGTGTGAATCAAATGACTAAATTAACAATGACGCATGAAAATTGGTGTGGCAACAAGTGACTAATTACTCCCACTGGGGACTTGAAAGAGCAACAAGTAATTAATTACATGTATTGTTAGATCTTCCGCCCTTGAGATTATAAATTATTAATATGCCTTTTTTCTAGATAAGAGTTTGCTGTCATTTATTTTTAATGTTTTTAATCCTATTTCTATAAGTTTTAATAATTTTGTTCGACCCTGAGCTGTCCTTTCTCCCTCACATCCGCACCACAACTGGCACCGCCTTCCATCACCTCCGGAATATCGCCAGACTACGCCATTACCTCACCCCTCACGCTGCTGAAACCCTGGTTCACGCCTTTGTCACCTCAAGGCTGGACTATGGGAACTCTCTCCTCGCCGGCCTTCCCGCCACCTCCCTCCACAAGCTGCAGGTCATTCAGAACTCTGCAGCTCGTGTACTGTCCCGCACCAGGCTTCGGGACCACATCACTCCCACCCTCGCTCGCCTCCACTGGCTCCCCATCCCCCAGAGGATCGAATTCAAGATCCTCATCCTCACCTACAAGGCCATTCACGGCCTTGCTCCCTCCTACCTCTCCAACCTACTATCCCCCTACCTACCTGCCCGTACCCTCCGTTCCTCTGGCTCCGGTCTGCTCCACGTCCCCCGCCCCAACCGCCCTACCATCGGTGGTCGGGCCTTCAGCCTCTCAGCCCCAGGCTCTGGAACTCTATCCCCCAGTGCCTTCGCCTTGCTTCCTCCCTTTCCTCCTTCAAGGCCGGTCTCAAAACCTTACTCTTTGACCGTGCCTTCAGCTCCCCTCTCGACTCTCTTCCCCCTCCTCGCTCCCTCCCTTCCCTCCCCTCACCCTGACCATTTCCCCCCTCCTCGCTCCCTCCCTTCCCTCCCCTCACCCTGACCATGTCCCCCCTGCTCGGGTCATGACCCAACTGTGCAGGGCCTTGGGACGTCCTCCTGACGTGAAAGGCGCTTTATAAATGGAATCTTGTTGTTGTTGTTGTATCCCTTTATCAAAATCTACTGTGAGGCTAATGTACCATTTATGTAGGAAACCTTAATAAAGAACTGTGTAGCATTTGAATCTTTAAATCTAATATATATAGAAATTATTATATCTGAATTAATATTTTACTCAGTCATTAGATGTCATGTGAAGTAATTAAGACTCGAACAATTTAAAACCAATCCAATTTATAACTTTATGGAGAAGGGTTTCCTAAATATGAAGTTCAGTTTCATTTACAAAATATTTTTCTTAAAATCTAACTGTAAAACATTAGAATGTAGTGCCATTTGAAGTGAAGAGACAATTTGGAAGAACAAAAGTTAATCCTCCCTCTTTCAAGAGTTGATTTGGATTATTATCTGCCATTTTAATTTACAGATGTATTTATAGCGCAACGATTTTGTATTTCAGAAAGTTTATTCAAACGCAATTTGGATTCTTTCACAATATGCTAAGGCCCTCATACATGCCTTCATTACATCTAGGCTCGGCTATGCCAATTATCTCCTTGTCGGTCTCCCCAACTCTGCAGCTCATGTCCTCTCCTGCACCAGGCTTCATGACTCCATCACACCCACCCTCGCCCGGCTCCACTGGCTCCCTCAGAGGATTGAGTTCAAAATCCTCGTCCTCACCTTCAAGGCCCTCTACTACCTCTCTGACCTGCTAACCCCTTGTCAACCTGTCCACTCCCTCCGCTCAGCAGGCTCTGGCCTGCTCCATTTCCCCCGCCCAGTCTGCCCCACCATAGGCGGTCGGGCCTGCAGTCTCTCTGGCCCCACCTTCTGGAACTCCATTCCAAATTCCCTTCACTTCGCTCACTTCCTTGCCTCCTTTAAGGTACACCTCAAGACCCTCCTTTTCGACCGTGCCTTCGGCCATTTTCCTACCCTCGCTGCCCTCCACCCTCCCTGATCCCAACGCCCCCACTCATGTCCTAATCCCTGACTGTTCAGTGCCTTGGGATGTCCTCCTGAAGTGAAAAGCGCTTTACAAATATAATGTTGTATTGTACTGTATATCTGTTCCTATATTTAACTTGTAAAGTTGCACATTGGAGGTTATGTTGCTTGCATTGCCAGGTACAGCAATTATTTTTGCAGGCTTTTAATGGGAAATCCCATTGCAAGTTCACATGGAAAGGTTTTGACATCTAGAAAACAGTGCATGATAAATCACTATTGTAGTAAATTGATCTGTTGTAGATTTACAGTTTGGGATTCCCATTCCAACTCCCATCATTTACAAAAAAGTAGTAGTGAAACATTATCACTATTATCACCAGCTTGGAATGCACATAAATGGGAAAAATAGAATGTCTATCCGCCTGTATTTCTTTTTCACTACAGTGAGCAGCTTAAGAGTTTTAAGTATCCTCAACAATATTGTCATTAAAATGGGAAACATACAGTCAATTTTATAGGTCTGTTAGTAATAAAAAAAAGGATATTTAAATTTTATAAAGTAGTTTGAAACAATGAAATTGGCAGAATATTAATTCATCTTGTGTGTTTTATATTTCGGGGATTTTATTTAGCTGTGCTTGCAGACAATTTTCTCATCTTGGCTTTTTTGGAGAACAGCAAACTCTGCTTTGTCCAATTTACAAAGAAATCCGGCTCCCCAGATATCAGCAGAAGAGTGGAAAAGCTTTCTTCTTCAGACCTTAAGGTACCTTTATTTCTTCCAGGGCATTGTGCTGGTAATTACTAGCAGAAAGTTGTGTTTTCCTTGTGTGTTTATTCTTCCCAAGCCTTTTCAATTGACAAATTATCTGCCCGTGAAAAATGACTGGGACTGGATCTGGGAGTTTCATACTTTCCAAAATGCATTGATCTCCCCTCACCCAATGTTAACCTACTTCAAACCCTGAGCACAAATCAATCTTTCTGCTCCTTTGACAGAATTAGCCTGAAATGTATATTTGTTGTTTTTTTTGTTTCAATCTGTCAACAAGTTTAGGCTTTCCTGGTGTATTCACCAAACTGAAACTTTGTATTGATTTGGGTCTCCTATGTATCCACCACACAAGGCTTGACATTGTTTTTATGCCTTTCAAGGAACTTTTACCTTGAAGCCAGGATGCCTACGATCAATTTACCTCACTCACAGGGAGTTAATCTTTATCATTAGGTTTGTGGTTTCCAACCTAAAAAGAACCACAACCAATCCATGTCATTGACAGCTCGTACAAGCACAGGTATTCCACATCAAAACTGATTGTATTCTTACAATTGGCTTCAATGTCATTGGACAAGGAAGGGTACGTATCAACTCTTTTGGTCAGCCAGATGTCTGACACATGCAGAAACCCATTGCCATGCTTAATTTACCATTTTATCATTAAATATTAGCTCCTGATCATTTGTCTCCAATCTTTGGTGAAATTAAGTGTGGAGTCCTGCCTGTAGTGTATTGGTTAGAGCACTTGTCTCACAAGCGAGAAGACCCAGATTTGATTCCCGAGTAGTGTGAAACCTTAGGCAAGTTTCCTTACTCCACACGCCTCGGCTTACCTCGCAGTAAGTAGGAACCCGGTTGTTAGTCGATTGGCAGATCGCTTTCCAGGGGTAATAGTCCCTTTAAAACAAAAAATAATAATAATGGTCTCTCAATCCACTGTTCTTTGCAATTGGCTGCTGCAATTCCTCCACTATATAAAAAGTGAATTCACTTTACAGTATATTCTGTGAAGGGCTTTGAGATGTCTCAATGCATGATACGCCATTATGTCAAATGCAAGGATTATTATTATTATTAAGTGTTTGTGTGGATGTTGAGTGAAGGTAATATTGGGCCAGTTCTGATACCCACTTTGGCTGCCAACTGTCTAAATTCACACAATGAAGGCCATCTGGGTGGGGCTTGGCAAGGTCTGTTCAATTATATCCTCGTGTGTGTTAATGTCTCCATTTATAGAGAATAGGGTTTCACTATCTACTGTTGATCCATTTATTTCGATATAACTTGTTTTCTTGAATGGATAGGATAACATTTGTTTAAATATATAGTTTTACAGTCAACATTCATCATATAACCAGGGCCTTTAACTTTTTTAGGTGAATGTTTCCTGTGAACAAAACTAAAAACAAAAACTAAACTAAACTAAAAAAACAAAACTAAAATTCTTTGAGTGCATATCTTTCTTGTAGTTGCTCAATAAGGTTTACGTGCCTTAATAATGAGTAAACACCATTGACTGCTTTTGATGTTGATTAAAACCAGAGTTCATACATGGCTTTCTACAGTGCCATCTGCAGGTTTTAGTTTCGCTACCTAGGTGACACAATAATGAGGCAATGCTAATCTTACCTCAAGTAGCTTTTACTGAATCTCTCTTGCTGTGAGACTAAGAGCAAGAAGCAGCAGTGATATTTTACCAATGCCTGAACCCACTTGTTCGTTGACTTAAATTATAATTCATGTACCATGATTTGTGGAATTGGATTGTGAGGTTCCTTTACTGTTAGCTTTTCTTTATGTTTAGAGATTGGTTGTGTAATTATTAATTATTTAGAGTATAATTTTACAGACTGCTGTATATTCTTGAAATATTACATGCTTAATTTGTCACAAATGTAACTTGTGATTTAGATATACTGCTATTTCAATAACCTCCCAAGACTTATATACAGTAAACTCCTGATAACTCCTCACTCCAAGGGAACAGGGCTCAGTAGCGAGTTATCTGGAGTGACGAGTTTGTCGATTTATAAATACATAAATAAATCTGGCTGGGATATTGACAGCATGATGATTTAAATCGTAGTGGCAAGTTAAGCTAGGGTTGAGTTATCAGCAGTTTACTGATTTTTAATTCTTATTTGATATATTTCAAAGTGACACTTATATTTAGTGTCTTCATCTAAAACAACAAAAAATGCTATTCCTAAACTCAAATAATGGAAATGGGACCTGGGCAGATTTTTCCCTGTGCCTGTATAACTCCTTGCATCAAAGATTACTAGCTGAGACAACTGCGTTTATAAGTCCTGAAAAGAGAAAGCTTTGTGGCTTCAGGCTATTTCTTTTATTAAAAAAGACCAAGTACTTGTAACTTACTAGTTTTGGAGTCAACAACAACAACTTGTATTTATATAGCGTCCTTCACACAGGATAGGGTCTCGGAGCATCTCTTTAATTTCGAGGGAATGTGGAATCTAACTTAATTCGAAGAACGATGGCCACTGCATTTAACAAGATGAGAAATGCAATTTAAAAGTTAATGACCATTACAATGGTCATACCAGGCTGCATACGCAGGCTAAGATATGGTTGAACTGATTGTCTGAGAATTGTTTTTTAAAAAAAGTAATCACGCAGCTTTTGTTTGTGTGGAGGAAAAGCCTCTACACAGCTGCACTGCAAAGCACACACTAGTCTAGTCATGTACAATTTTTACTATATTTCACCCACAAAATAGTCAGTCCACTTTACAATATATTCTCTGAAGCACTTTGAGTCGTCTCAACAACGTGATGAGACACTATATCAAATGCAAGGATTATAATTGTTATTACATATTTTCTTTATTTAATACGAAATTTCACCAGTGAGTAACTAAGACCAAGAAACAATATACTTAAATAATGTAGATCAGCATTTTTAATTGTTATTTGCAACCTGGCAAAATCGATGACCTTTGAAACGATGAAGATTGTAGCCTGTCTGAAAAATGATTGAATATTGAGAGTTCCACTGATCGCAAGAAGAGTGAGCTGTAGTATGATTGAGAAGCGGAGTACTGATTCATCTTGAGACAACAATGAGTAGATCTGAAGAAAACAGCAAAGGAAGGGATTAGTTTGCAAAGGTCTTGAGAGATTATTTTTTACAGGGATGTCAATATTATAATGTAAGTGAAGTAACATCCCAATGTACTTGTAATGTAATTGGTGTCCTATTTATTGCCTTTTAAAAGTCAGCTACTTGTGCTAAATGGCAGTTCCAGTTTACCAAAAATGGAGGCAAGACTACATGCAAAGGTGTGAGTGGAATTCCACAATAAGTTTTTATAAATGAGCAGTAGTGTTGAGGGTTGGAGACAGCTATCAAGAGCACCTTTTGAATGTTGTGCCTCTGTGATATGTGCTTTGCAGTGTCAGCTGTGTATGTTTCATGAGAGTCACTAGTGAGTTTAAACCCAGAACAAAATTGTTGTAAATCCATGAGAAGCTGTTTCTTTTGCAACCAGGTATAAATAGAACTGGCTTTGATCAGTGTTGATTTGCATCCAAAACTGCATTATCGATGAATACACTGTGTAAGGCTATCTAAATTTGCAAGCATTTATTCACATTTTCATATTAAAATCATCTTACATTTAATACTCCATCCTTCTGGCAATTTGAATAACGATGAATACTGTGTGGATAATATTTTAGTAAACTCGTTAGAGCTTTCCAAGATTACTTTGTCAATGTTATCTTGACATAATTATCTTTTTATGCTTTTAATAATTAAATCTTCACATTTTTAAAGGATCTGTAATATTCATTATTTTCTTTTTTAACTGAAGAATGTCAATGCATTATTGAACTTAGCTAATTGGTAGTGTGTGGAGATGCAATCAAGGTTAATCCTGCCACTGTGTCCGATATGTGGAAAGCTTATTGAACATCATTGTGTTAAGAAAATTCAAGCAATTGGGATAAAATCTGTGTAAAAATAGAACAGTGAAATGGCTTAGATAACAGGCACAGTATGATGAACTAAAAGTATTGAGGATTCTTGGCAGGTGGACAGCCTCAAAAGTTTTTAAATGTGCATTCAAGGTAACGGGGAAAGCAATAATATTATGACTGTGCAAATAGAGAAGGTCTGTGTTTAACTGCATAAATGCAGCATAGGATTTTCAGCATTAACCTTGTTATAATGGCCTGAGACAAGTGGTGAGATCACAATTTGGATGAGCGTGATTATTTGCTAAATACAATACATAAATGCAACGGGTTCTTAACACCCTGTGCACTCTGGCATTATCGCATTACTGGGTTCCTTTGTTGCTTCCCAGACAGGAATATAAAAGCAATCTATCCTATAGTGAAACTGGCTCCAGAAGCATTTCCCTGATAAGGGGACCCCCTGCCCTTCATGAGTGTCTGGTCCAGTGGGTTTAGCTGTATGGTTAATCCCCAGAAAGTGGTTTGATTATTGCTGACCAGCAATGGCGAAATGTTTTTTTCTCTCGCTATCAAACTCCTATTAATTCCTGGGTAGGAATCAGCACAATTTTTCGTGTGACATGCATGGCGATACGCTGTTCATGTTTTGCTATTATGCTTCCAGTCTTTTTTGGAGAAGGGTCAAAGAAAGTCATTTTAAATTTACTGGTAATATTAGAAGTAGATTGCAATATCTGAGTTTTTTTTCCCCTCCCAAAGCTTGTTAGAAGTTGTGTTTCTTTTCTAGCCATCTACATGCTAATTTCAGGTCAGTTTGGTATATTAAAGTCACTCGACCGGTCATCTCCATTTACTTGGGCTAGGTAGGTAAAATAAAATAGAACCAAGATAAAGCCTTTGCGGATGTGCAAATAAAGCACAAGATCTTTTTAGTTGTGCTGTCCGCAGTATTTCAGTGTTGCCAAGGCAAAGATACATTGCAACTTTTGAAGTGTTGATTTTATTTGCCTGTAGATATCTTATGTTGATTTGCCTGGACTTAGCGGCCGAAGACTAGAACATCGTTTGGCCATAAACTGTATGCAGGATATGGTGATCTGCTGGTGGAAAACAGCTAATGGAGATGCTTGGCCGTGGTCTCCAATCTCCAGCGAAAGTGACAGAGCCAATCTTGTGTTGTTGAATTGCATGAATAGCAGACTGGAGGTAAAATGTTTCATTAATGGTTGTGACAAAACTATAATGCATTATGTATGTTTCTTTTTTATCCCAGCCATTGTAGTACTTTTTTTTCATTCATATACTGCTTGGAATCAATAATAGTTAAGCTTTATTTCCTGTTTAACTAATGTGAAATAGGGATATTCCCATTACATAATTATTTTCTTTTTAACACATTGAAAAGGTTTCTCTATTCATCTTTAATTAAAGCCATGTTTGCGATTATGCGTGCCACTGTGTGAAATCAAACTAGCCATTTTGGTTAACATACGCTGAAATAAATCAAACCTTTTTTCCTTCAAAAACCCATAGGCTTCAATCACAGCAAGCTTATTGATATGTTTCCTTTGTTACATTTTCTATCTGCATGTTAAGCCAATTTTCTACTTGGAATGTAGCGTTTAAAACTATTATTTGTTCCAGTATGTGGTCTCTCTCTACCCTCAGGATTTCTCCTCGAAATGTCCACGCTAAGCATGGGTAAAATTGGAATATCTAATGATTTTGAAAACAAGGGGGTTTGCTTGCGTTTAAGGAGAAAAATAATTGAATGGTACTGGACATTGTCTCGTTGCATGAATGCAATTAGCCACCATGTACTTTGCTAGAATTAATGTGATTAAGAAGCACAGAGCACCTGCAGTCTAGTCACAGCGAAAAGAAGACCTGATTGAATAATATCACTTTTATATGACTAGTTTGTTTTCAGAAGTAACTAGCAATGTATAATGGACAGTTTGTCTGAAGTTGGCAAGACTCAACTTGCCTCCACATTACATAGATCCAACATGATATTGTAAACTTGATATCTGATACATTCTTACCACTGCCTGTTCAAAGAAATGTTTTGTAACATCTACCTTTAATTATTTTCACGGTGATCTTTTATGTGTGCCTTTTTGGTTGCTAACTTGCTGACCAGTGGAAATAATCTATTACTATTTATTTTACCACAGCACTTTATAAGCTTGAAGATCTCTTATCGGTTCACCCCCTTAATCTTCTCACTTCTAGCGAAAACAGTCCTAATTTCTCAAGTATCTTCATAACTGAAATCCTTTTCAGTGACGGGATGAAAGTTCAGTTGCAGCTCTTTTGGAGGTTCAGTAGTCAGCCTACTTATAACATTATAGCCTACATAGAGTCTACTATATTATGCCAGGGGTTTTCTTCAATGATAATATGCTATTTTAAGAAGTTATTCTTTCTTTGAACGAAAGAAAGATCTAAAGATCTAAATTTTTTCCATTCGACTGTGTCACTTACAGACTAATTTTACTACTTAACTGTGGCATTAAAATATTGGCTGTGATGCAAACTTTGTGTTTAATCGACCATATAAATACAAGTTTTTGTTCTGTTGTTGTGGACACTAGTGTATATTATGTAAACTCACATGAGTTAGTATCCTCAAATTGAACATTTACCCAGACTCCACTAGTTTTTCCAAATATTCCCATTCAGGATTCCTTAAGCTTATTTAACTGATTGTGAAGTTCACCAGATATATTTATTTTATATATTTATTACATATCTATCTATTTATATCATTGGGTGCTGCATTTTGCCCACAAAATACACAGTCACTCCACTTTATAATATATTCTGTGAAGCACTTTGAGACATCTGAATGACGTGATAAAGCGCTATATCAAATGCAAGGATTATTGATTTATTCATTATTATTATTATCTGTCAGGAAAGGGCAAAAGTTTAGGAAAGTTGCGACATGCCCAAAATAGGGAGTATTAACCCTCAGCAACTGTAACGACTACTGCTGGGTGGTACAATTTTTGTAACTTGGACCAACACCTGCCAAACTACCTGGCATATTGATAATCGCTGCATTAGAATAATCACTCCCTATTGCACATGGTCCCTATATTGCCAGACCCAAAATATCTTCCCACCCATTCTTTCCAGTGGCACCAGGAGGGAAGGGAGTGGAGGCATTTTGGGTGTATCGATACAGATATAGGGTGTGCAATAGAGAGAGGAACGTCACTCTCTTAGCCTTAGGGTATCCATCGGCAAAGCCTCACTTATGGTGAAATTCCGACATCCCACCCTACAGTCCAGCTGAATGATATTTCAGGAACTCTCCACATATTGTGGGTGTTCTCCAACAGTTGACTCTTCTAGTCTTGCTATGGCAGCTTGTGAACCATGACAACACTGGCACAACAGAGAACTGCTGCAACACACCCAGGATACTTAGGCCAGATCGAGGGCTGACCACAGACTTCCTGCCTCACTGTAATCCACACCTAGTATGTGTGCTGTGTAACACGAGAACCATGTGTGTTTGAGGATGTGTTTTAATTGAGAATAATTGTAACAATGATATTAAAAAAGCAAAAGATCAAATCCTAAGGCATTGTGATAGCTCGTGTTTTCTTCCCTAAAAACCGAAAGCTAATGATAAACATACACATCCTCAAATATACATATTAGGGATAATATCTGTAGCCATGAAGATACATGCTGTAGACCATTTTAGTAGATATTACAGTAGTTGGTGTAAACAATCGCAAGACTTAATGATAAACAGAGAAGAAGCGGTGATCCCTTTGCTTCAACACATTGTTCTTTACCTAATTAAACAGTAACTTCAAATTAAATAGTGCTTTTCACATAGGATAACGTAACACTTTTCACATAGGGTGACATATAACACATAGCACTGTAAGAAGAGAGGGAGTTTGTAGCCCTACAAATGTACCCAGTTTAAATAAAAATATTTTTTGGAAACTTCAGTCTTTCCCATAATAAGCAAATGTAGGGCTCAAGAGATTTAAACAGTTACAATTAAACCTCTAAATTTGTGCTGTTACAGTATCTATTTGTGTGGTCAGATGATTATTTGAGTCACAGATCAAGTTTTCTAGCTTCATTAACGTTCTTTTATTTAACCTTTTATGTTTGGAAAAAAATCACAAACGCCCTCCAGTTAGCATTACTCAGTGAGTCAGAAGTCTTTATTCTTTACAGCTCCATCCAGCTGACAGTTTTGGCCACTAAAGAATACCTTCAGATATTATCCATTCAGGAAAAAGGAAGATCAAAGCCTTTTGTCAAACGAAGTTCCACCTCCTTCCACAGCTAATCATCTGAATAAAAGTGCAACTAGAACAGGGTTCTCAGATCTTGGTCAGGCTTTTCCTGCGGATTATGCTTCCTTTCCCTGTGTTTCCTTTTTGTTCCCCCCTGCAGATTTTCGTATATATAAACATTAGTTAGAAAACCCCAAGAAGTTTAACATTTTTAGATATTTTGATTCACAAGATGTAAATACATTACGCCAGCCTGGCTTAGTTGGTAGCACTCTTGCCTCTGAATCAGAAGGTTTGTGGGTTCAATCCCCACGTCGGGACATGGAACTCCTATCATCTAAGCTGACACTCCAATGCAGTTCTGGGGGTGTGCTGTGTTGTTGGAGGTGCTGTCCTTTGGGTGAGATGTTAAACCAAGGTCTTGTCTGCCTGTTAAGATGGACGGTAAAGATTCCTCAGCATTATTCAAAACGAGAAGCGAGTTTCTCCTGGTATCCTGGCCAACAATCCCCAAATAAAATTGGTCATTCACTCCATGGCTGTTTGTGGGACATTGCTGGATGCAACTTGCCTGCAAACCATACAGTCACTAAACTTCACTGTATATTTTGTGAAGAGTTTTGGGACAGGCGTTCGCATGAAAACCGCTATACCAAAAATAAGGATTATTTTAATTACTGTACTAAGTTGTGTTTTTTACAGAAAAGGAGTCCTGTAGCTCAGTGGTTAGAGCACTCGCTTTGCAAGTGAGAGACCTGAGTTCAATTCCAGGCAGAGGGCGAAACCTTGGGCAAGTTTCCTTACTCCACACAGAGCCTAATAATAATCCCTCCAAAACCAAAAACAATAATAAATTGGTCATTTTCAATCTACGACTGTTTGTGGGACATTGCTGTGCGCAATTGGCTGCCGCGTTCACCCACAAATATACAGTCAATTCACTTTACAGTGTGTTCTGTGAAGCGCTTTGGGATGTCCTCCCGACGTGAAAAGCGCTATATCAAATGCAAAAAAAAAGGTAAGTTTTATTTCTTTCATGGAATGTAACTTCCTTGAAAAAGGAAGCTTGTTCCTTCTTTTATTTATGCCTTTGTGGTCTTCTTGTGCGGCAGGGAGGGAGGAAGGGATGGTGGTAGAACTTTTTCTAGATTTCCCATGAATGACACTATGCCACAAGGAGGTGTATAGGAGCAGTATGGTAACTCTTCCTTTCATCTACCTTGCTCCTACCTTGCTCCTATGCAGAGCTCCTTGGCCTGTGCTGAATCTCTGCCTGTAACAGTGCAGCTGAGTTCAGGAGTTCAACAAAGTGGGAACTAAAACCTGCATTTGTTCACCTTCCATTCCTTCCTTAGTTAGCCCTCACCACTGCGACATCTCTTTGCCCAGATACGTGCGACATTTAGAATTTCCTTTGCTTAACCCTAACCCTACCTCGTTATATTTTTTTTCTGTCAGCAGAGCCCAGTATTTTTAATATTTTCTTCCCACCTTCCCACCTTCTCTCTCTCTCTCTCTCTCTCTTTCTCTCATGTGTTTACTGCTGTCTCAAGCTGCTTTGTGAGAGGAATAATAATTTTAAAATAGCTGTCAAGCTTATCTGAGTCTAGCCAATCATTTTAAAAATGGACAGGAAAATGGACTATGGAAAATGAAAATAAGTAAGACATTCATATATATATTCCTACTGGAATTCCTGTTAAATATAGGAATCTCCTTAGGTTATAAATATACAGTCAATTCATTTTACAGTATATTCTGTGAAGCGCTTTGAGACGTTTCAATGATATATCAAATGCAAGGATCATTATTGTCATTAAATCTTCCGAGAGAACACAAGATTTTAAACAAGTCTTCAAAAAAGAAGTAATCTACATTAATTAAGTACAGCAGATTGTTTTTGTGCTTGTGTCATCCAGCCCTTTAATTTTTTTTCTTTTGAAGTAACTATAAACAAAGTAAAGTCAGTTTTGGGGGGGGGAAAGCTATTTAAAGATAATCCATGATTAATGGTTTGTGAATAAGATTCAGCTGTAAATTAAATTTATTTTAACAATTGCTTTTCTATTTTTTCTCCTCTAACTTCACCCCTGCACCCAAGCAAAACTTTATTAAGTGAAAATCAGGGCAGTTCATTTTGTGGGCACGTGATTTCTGTTCCTTGGGCAACTGCTAAGGTGCCCGGTTTGTATGAGGGTGAAAATTAACCTTCCCTGACTTGTGTTCCTCAAGTGACCCAGCTGACTGACATATATATTTCCCCCCTTAGGGGAAGTCTGAACAAGGATGTCAGTCCAGATTGGGATTTGAACTTTATTCTGTTATTTAAGGTTGTCTGGAAGGCAAAGTGTATTTTTTTTGCATGTTTTTGCATGTGCCGAATGTCAGAAAGGACAATATACCTGTCCAAGGTATATTGACTGATGATTACCTATATTACATTATTTGGCTAAAAGGATGACGTGACAAATTTCCAAGGGTGCAGTTATTGTGAATAAATTGTCAGCGCCTGTAGATGTGCTGAATTACTTGTATGGCCCTTTTTGGGAATCTTGGTCTCCAATAATAGAGGGGAGAATAAGCGTTACATCATCTGATACATCCAAGAAGAACTTAATTTATGTTATTAGAGAAGTTGGACATAACATGTTGTATTTTATGCATTGCGTGAAAAACTCTAAATTGAATATTTGCAAACTCAAAATCTAGTCAAGTCTTTCTGCAGACTTAATAAGGTACTGCATTTTGAAATACTGGATGGGCATTCAGAAAACAACAACAAAGCGTGCCACCATTATTCATCCGCTGGTGTAAGATGATATCTGCTGAGCAGTTTTTTTTTGCATGATTTAAACTTAGACCAGCCTGATCTCTAAGACCCTGTGTAAAGGACATTAACTGTTCAATCTCTCCTGACTGTGATTTGTTAACTTTCTAATGTTCAGCATTCATTTTAAGGCAAAGTGATGAAGAGTTTTGCTCTGCATTGAATGGAATGCATAGCACTCAAGAGTATTTACAAAGATTTACCAAGAATGTACAGCACAGAAACAGGCCACTTGACCCAACCAATCCATGCTGGTGTTTGTATTCCACACGCGTCTCCACCCATTCCTTTACTCACTTCCATACACTTCTATTCTCTTCACCCTCATGTGAAGGTCGAGCTTCCTCTTGAATGCATCGACACTATCTGATTCAATCACCTCTTCAGGCTGCGAGTTCCACAATCTCGCTACCCTCTAGATGAAGTAGTCCCAATTCAATTCTCTTTTAAATCCCCTAGTCACTATCTTATACTTGTGTCCTCTGGTTACCGATTTCCCACCAATGGAAACAGCCTATTTATGTTAATCTTATTGAACCCATTTATAATTTTAAATTCTTCTAGTAGGTCCCCCCTTAAACATCACTTCTCTAGCAAAAGAGGCCTAACCTCTATCCAGTCTATCCTGGTAGCAGTAATCTGCCATCTTGTAAACCTATGGTGTACTCTTTCCATCGCTGTTATATCCTTCCTATAGTGTGCAAACCAGAATTGGACACAATACTCCAAATGTGATCTAACCAAGATTTTATATAAATTCAACATCACTGTTGGTTAGTGAAAAAAATGTTGAATGGTTAATATTTAACATTAGCTTAATATTTGTTATATTAGCATAAAAATGGTTTTAGTATACATTTCAGACTTCCAATAATAATAATAATCTTTGGATTTGGTAGAGTGCCTTATCACATTTTCTAGGTGTGTCAAAGCACTTCACAGAATATACTGTAAAGTGAATTGACTATTTTTTTGTGGCAGCCAATTACACACAGCAGTGTGCCACAAAGTGTCGAGGATTGAGTGACCAAAGTATTATTATTTTTGGAAAGGTTCCTACTTACTGCTAAGTAAATAGAGGCATATGGAGTAAGGAAATTTGCTCAATCTTTTGCACTCCGGGGAATCGAACCCAGGTCCACTTGCTTGCAAGGCGAGTGCTCTTACCAATACGCTACAGGAACTCTATTGCAGAACTACAGGACTTGCCTGAAGAACAATTAAAAGTTGCTTCAGAGTTGGAAAGTGCAAGACTTTCTTGATTTATGAATGCTTAATTTGTTCTTGTTAATGCACGTCCTCCCAACGTGATAGGCGCTCTATAAATGTAACTTTTTTGTTGTTGTCGTCGTTAATGTAATCACATACATGGGAAAAATAAGTTATGTTAACTGTATAACTATTGGCCAAATTTATTTATATGTGCCTGGTTTCTTCTCCTTTTCAGGTCTTAAGCTTTATCCGCACAGAAAATGATCCACTGGATGCGGGGTTCAGTATTAATCAACCCTATCAGATCCACACAGTTGAATGCTCTATTGGTCCAGAAAAAGAACCTATGGCAGACAGCTGCATTTATGAGTGTGCAAGGAACAGATTGCAAAGGGTGACAGTGACGAGCGTTCCATTGAAGTCCAGAGCCACTTGCTGTAGCAGAAATAATGCAGAAGACAAATTGGTCATGGGTTGCGAAAATTCTTCAGTGATTTTATATGATGCCCATCGGAGGTTGACTCTACTGGCTCAAACAGAGTTAATGCCATCTTCAATAGAGTGGCATCCAGAAGGGGCAATAATTGTGGTGAGCAGCAGTCAAGGTGAAATTCAGTGTTATGACATGGCCCTGTCGCCAGTGAAGATACAGCTGTTGGCGGAGGACATTACACCTACTATCAAACTTCAGCTTAGCCAACACTTTGCTGTCACAAGCAGATTGGCCCAGATCCAATGGACAGTTCCTCAGGTTATTTCTCCTAGCAGTAACAGCCTTAATGTGCACGATCTCATGTTTCTGAGATTTGACAAAGGACCTGTTGGAGTACTTTGCTTTAAACTTGGTGAGCTCCACGTTTGGAAAGTGGATTTTGATATTTTCTTTGTACCCTCTCCCCTCCAAATTGGAAAAATTTATGGATTTTTTTAAAAAAAATTGTATTTATCTGACGAAAGTCATGAAGGGTTATACCCTTACACTGCTCCAAATTGTTTAGCATTCTGCAAATTTTTGAAAGAGAAATCTGATCTCCTGCATTATGTGAAATATATGCCTCTATAACATAAGCTACAGAGTGTTCAGTGTTCATTTGACTTAATGTCACCATAATAGGACATATATTGACATGCATCAGAATTCCTTCTTTAGCAGTCTAGTTGTCAGGGCATATTTAAGATACTTGCTTCTAAATTCTGTGTTTTGAAGTTCGACTAGTCATTTTGATATGATATGCCAGTCATCGAATCATAGAATCTTACAGACCAGAAGGAGGCCATTCGGCCCATTGTGCCTGTGCTGGCTCTTTGAAACAGCTACCCAACTAGTCCCACTCACTGGCTCTTTCACCATAGCCTTGTAAATTTTTCTTTTTTAGAAAACAAATTCCCATGACAAATTGGACTGTTCCTCAGTCACCGGTTTATATCCCTTGAGAGGAAGTGCAGCTTTTTCACCGTTTTTTAAATTCTGTTTTTATTTATTGATTTCACACAATGGGGAATAACTTGTGTATTATGAAAAAGCAGGATGTTACAGCTAGACTGGTCTATTTGTACATGAAGAGTACTTCAGTTCAGATTTACTAACAAAAACTGCACAAAAAAGCTTTATTTCTTGTAACACGTTAGTTTCTCATACCCATCCATTTTGTTTTTAAAAAGTGCTCTATTTTAGATTCTCTTGTGTTGACGCTATTTTCTTCTTGTTCCTAGCCTGCTCCTAGCCCCCATCTGATAGCCTCTCTGTATTTGCCAAGCAAAAGGCACTTAAAAGCATTCCCATAGTGTCTTGCCCACTGTTTGTTGTTTGGGTTCCTTTCCTTCCTCTGTTCCACTTTCCTCTCGAGGTGTGGAATAGCCTCATCTCCATGTTGGTGCTCTCTTAGAAGTTCCCACTCAGATCACGTTCTCTATGTTTGAGGAAATTATGTTTCATTTTAATATTATTCTATGGCAATCATGTTGGTGGACTAAAACTCTCCATCACAATCTCTTTCTTAAATTAATTTTGAAACATTTTTTTTTAAAACTCCCACATCCCTTTTTAGCTTGCCAAAGGTAGCAGCAGGCAGCTGTATGGCTCCTGAAGCACTTCACTAATTACCACTGCATGTTCAATCCATTTTTTGATGCTGTCCATTATTTTAAAAAATCTAAATTACCTGGTTACCTATGTTCACTATACGCCTACATAGCTCTCTCTGCTATCCCCCGATGGATTGGCTTACGACAGCTTTTCAGAAATGTTCAGCTTTTACCTTCATATTGCAAACGCATTTCATTTTGCTTTTATTGCCAGCAGGCTCTCAGAGAAGGGATTTAGAGTCCTAATTGCTAGCTTGTAATTTTAATTGGACTGCTTCCCTAGGCACTGTTCTTAAATCAATTAGGCAATGAGTTAGCTGTCACCTCATTCTCCTGTGCAGGTCATTTGGAAGCTCACCACCCACAAGAGGTCAAGCACCCAGATGGAAGAGTATTGACATCCACAATTAACATCTCTCACTTTATTTTGTGATTCCTTGTAGATGTTTGCCTTAAACATTCCAAAAATGTAATGACTGAACTTTTTCTGACAATATTGGATTGTTGAGAGTCACAAGACTTATGTGACTGGGAATGGTGTGCCAGCCAGTGCTGTTCCTCTTCCACAGTTACAAGGTTAAGCAGTCGCTGATTAGTCACTTCTTGTTACCAAGATCAAATGAATCTAGAGGATCAATCGACTTCCAAATAATTAACCCCTTTTGTTAGTGATCTAGTTGTTAAGAGACAATGAATGATGTAGAATTATTTTTATACCTACAGTATTTAATGAAATGATTTGCCTAAAGCTCACGTCAGTTTCTGCCTTTTTTTAAAAAAATATATAAAATTTGTTAAAATAGACTTGGCCTCAAGACTACATTTTGTTTTCTTATACCAGGTGCCATAATGAGAGGCCAGCTGGGTCCCACTGAACTCATCCGACAGTATATTCGTCATGAACAGATTGATGAGGCGATCAATATCTTGTGTGGCATGAATTGGAATACCTTGAGCTCACAGTGCTATGCTTGCCTCATTGCCATTGTGGACCACCTTCTTAAGCAGAAGCTTACATTGGAACGAGAATGTGAGACATGCATGAGAATTTACATTGATTACAGTACTTTTAAAATGAATTTTTTTTCTATCAGTTTGTTTTTGGGTACTATAAGCCTTTAATGCATGTTGGATGAAGATCTCTCAACACTTGAAGTTTGGGGATGTAAAATGCAGGATTTCTTTTGCATGATTTGGATTCTTTATTAGAGAATCCCTCTAGAAATCCCACATGTTAACCCCATAGATTTGGGAGCCAAACAGATTATGCTCTCTAAATAGACAAAACTTACTTTAATGTAGGTAAACCTTTATAGTTTATTGTCAGCTCAACTCCTTTCTTTTTGCCCTCATATAATTGTATAGGGTATGATTTTGTAGACCTAGCAAATGGCATTGATTGTCTGCAAAATGATAAGGAAATTCAGTATTTATGACTTCAATTAACAAAATTTAAAATTATCACTTGGCATGAAATGTCTGAGTTTCCGAAAGAATAAATATAATCACATCTGTGTAAGTCATACGATTTTACCTATCTCTAATTACCACTCCTCATCCAAAATTTATTTTCTCCCTGTGCCTGCATCATCCTCTGCAAAGCAATGTATTCTTCATATTCAGTGGTTAGAGCACTCACCTCGCAAGTGAGATACCTGGATTTGATTCCCGGAAGGGCAAAACCTTGGGCAAGTTTCCTTTCTCCATACGTTTGATAATAATCTCAAGAAAAAAAATAATTTGGTCACTCAATCCACGATTATTTAGGGGGCATTGCAGTGCACAATTGGCTGCTGTGTTTTGCCCATAAATATACAGTCAATTCATTCACTTGACACTATATCCTGTGAAGCGCTTTGAGACGTCTCGAAGACATGAAAAGCGCTATATCAAGTGCAAGGATTATTATTCTGATGTTGAGTAAACTGTTAAAGAGTAAGCTGTTTGCACAAGCAAACTCTGTAAACTTGCTGTGTGGTGGTCCTGCACGTTACTCAACAACATAGCTGGAAGAGGGAATCCACATGTAAATGATGCATCACATTGGGAACATTGTTCTTTTGTGTAATATTAATATTTTTCATACCAGTCCCTAGAATTTCAGTTTTAACAAGTTGCAATCTGTCATATCATTTTCGAGTTTACTCTGTTCATGAATAGCAATACATGTTTCAAAATGTCCCATTCCAATAAAATCCCTTATCAAATGTTTAATGCACAAACTCAACAGAATATTTATTCAATAAATTAAATTCTAATGATGTATTTGGGAGTTTCTCCCACCCTCTCCTCCACCTCCCTGTCTCTCTCTATCCTCATACTAGAGACCTGCTCCTAAGGCCTCTAACCGTGCCATTCTGCAGCCAGCTGCAAATAAGTGCTTGGCACTGGCCTGGGGTGAATGGCTCCCTGTGGGAAGCACCTGACCTCTAGTTGCTTCTTACCAAAAGCAATATGGTTGCAATCGGGGGAGGAATGTGTGAGGAACGCGTGCACAAACCAGTGTCTACTGTTGCTCGGGACAACCATATTGGGTGATCCAACATACTGTGCAGCCATAGAGATTTTTAAAACAAACAGAAATTCTGCTGTTTATCGCTAGAGATCAGTGTGGCACACAAGTAACTAATAGCTTGGTTGATCGAAAGTATCATTGCAACTTTTTTTTACAGTTTAATGCACTTTTGATTGGGGCATCTTGAATTTTATTTAGGCACGAGTTGGAACAGCATTTGGTCATTGAAGTTTTTTTCTTTTTGTTCTAAATAAGATTATTAAATCCATGGCACTATTACAGGAAAAGAGGAGCGGAACTGCTTTTTCCGCTATGGTTCCTAAGTTGCACTATTGTTTTTTGTATTATTGCTGTTGCTTAGTTCCACTCCTATCCTTTAAGTTAGTAAATAGGTCCGTAACTTTGAGATCAAATACCATTCTTTGAACAGCTGATGGCAGCTGGGCAGGATGATGAAACAAGTGCCAGATCCCGAGGAGGAGGTTCATTCACCATTATCCTGCCAAGTGATATTTGTCACATACGTAGCTTGTAACCGTAGCTCAGTCTCAGACTGTCAAGGAAACTGTCAGTGCCTATCAAGCTACTGTTTTGTTTTTGCTTTAAACTACATGTTTTATTGATTCCTCCCTAAATATCATTCTGTCACTTGAAATGAATTTTCTCTATCCGCCGTCTTGTAAGTTCTAACACTGCAAATACAAGAACTGATAGTGCAGTGGATAGGTTCTGGGATTAAGAATTTCATTAATTATTTATTATTAACTGATGATGACTGCCTGGGGAAAGGAATGGATATTTTATTTTTTTAATTAGCGACCAATGGCAAAAATGTAATGTTCTTGAATTAACGTTGGCAAATATAGGGGTTTTCAAGATGCTGTTGCAGAATAGAATCCTTAAATCCCCTGTTTTGCACAGAAGACTTATTTAAAATATAATCCAATGACATTCAATAATAGACTTGATTTCTAAATCAGTCAAAGATCAAAATATACACTTTTTTTCACCCCATTTCATAATGTATTCATTCCTGTTGTCTCGTAGTGCAATAGCGCAATCAAATATTGATCCTGGTTTGAAATATTGACTGTATACCAGCGATCCATGGAACAGCATAATTATGTTAGTGATTGTACATGTTCTGAGGAGTTTTTTTTATTGTGCTCCACAGCACAGCTGGAATCAAGTCTTGGAACATTTTATGCTCCTACAAGACCTTTATCAGATATAACTGTGTTGGAATACAGGGATCCGATCAGCCGATATGCCAGACGTTTTTTCCACCATCTGCTCAGGTGAGTGAGGCCATCAATTTTCCAGTACCTTGTTAATTATATGCTTCTTGTCTGCCTTTTTAGCACTTAACTAAGTAATTTCCGCAATAGACTCTTTAAAAAACACAAGCTGAGACAGCAGAGGCGAGCAGCATTCTTTTATAATGTGGATAAGCTTCATGTTGACTTAACATTAAAGTGAGTTTTTGTTTGGGTCTAATTGAGAAAAGCTGCTGGTGGCAGAGCTGCAGAAAACTCACAGTGATTTTTACTGATGAGTGCAATTTGTGCATTTTCTCCGTCAGAGTTTTGCTGAAAAATTCATTTTGTATCACTTCCCAGTTTGGTTCTTTGCGTTGATTTGATTACATAACAAAAGCCTTTTTTTTGAGAAAAAACAATAGCAACAGCAGAAAGCATGCAAAAGTACATGCATCTGTGAAGTAGAAGCCCCAAGGTGCATCACCCTAAGAAAAATGTTTAGAAAATGATAATGGGGTTAAAACCAAATTGTACTCACATATTTACTCATTCGGATACAGTTAACTGATTTTAATGGTGAGTGCTTTCAGCTTATGCACAATAATGGGATAGGGTCTTGCATATAAAATGTTTAATCGCATCTTTGTGGTTTAGAGTGGTTGCTGTTCATTCCTACATAATCGATTTTAGCCTTTAGGACAGAATGGACAGAACAACCAACTTCTTAACAGCTGTCAATGTATTCCATTGCTGGACAAACAAAGATTCAATTCTAATGCTGTAAGTAGGGTTCTTCAGCAACCGATATTGTATATATCTGAATCAAATTAGTTTATATCAAATTATTTTTTATCTCACACCTGATAGGATATAGCAGTATTGCACAATGGATCATTCACACGTGAATGATCAAAGTCATTCATCCATTTCTAAAAACAAGCAAAACCTGTTTCATTCAACTCCTCCGTACACAATTTTACCTTAAGTACTGTTTAAACATTGTATTAATTGCATCAAAAAATGTAGCTTGAGGTGGCTCATTTTCTTCAGTACTGATGAAATTCCGTACGTCTGCAATTGCTAATGTTTTGCACAATTCCGACAGGTACCAGAGATTTGAGAAGGCATTTCTGCTCGCAGTAGACATAGGTGCCCGAGACCTGTTCATGGTGAGTCATTTCATGTAAAATTGTTGGTCTCCTGCTGGTTTCAGGTCTGCTTCTGTTGTCAGTTTTTGTGCTTCTTAGCTCAGTGTCAACTGCAGCTTTCGTCATCGAGAAAGACCTTTGCACACGCCTCGTCTTTATGAAGTTGGTTGATTGTTCTGGGTCATTTTGACTTGTTGACATTTTCTCACCACAGCCTTAAGGTTGTTTTGCATTTTGCAGGTAACAGTGCTTACATTCTTGAATTTTCCTTTGTGCCTGATGTGTACAGTTGACAACTTTCAGTCTGATGGGTTTGATATTTCTAATCCGTTCGCTAAAGAGGGTAACAGCTGCAGTAATAATAATCCTTGCAATAGCCAAAATACTGCACATGATTTGGAGGTGCTCAGCATTGCCACTCGGGCTTCTGCACGGAGTAACAAATTATAAATGCTTCTGCGGGTACCTTTAGAACAAGAAATCCAAGTACCGACCTGAAGGCTGTGACATTTAGCCCTTTTTTGGGGGTCCTCCCATTTAATTAGCTACAAAAATAAAAACTAACCTGCCCAGAATGACTTGTGTGAAGCCCAGCATGTGGTCCTTGTTTTCAAAGATCTTGCACCACAATGCCACAGTGAGGTTGGATGGACAAAGCTGATAGCACTTTCCTAAGTCTCACAGCATGTTTCTTCTGAGCAATGGCTTTGATTGTATATAAAGCCACAAAAAAGAAAGGGCCATGTTTGGCAGGAGGATTTCTGTGCAAGTGTCTGTTATATAACAAAGACGTTTCATAGCTTTTCTACAATTTAAGAAAAACGCTACTGTTATGTATATAATGTCAGGGTTTTCTCAAGGATGTCTCAATGAACTGCCTGGTTCCTAGACAAAACCATGACATTCCTGCCAATTGTTCTTTGGATATATTTAAACCTTGTCATTTGATAAATTTTGTTTTATCATAATCATTAGCTGCATTGCAGTGGTTTCCTATCCAGCATTATGGCAGCATGCAGCTGGTGTCTTCACTCCATCATCAGGTCACTATTTGAAATTCTGCATTCATTTTTTTAATGAAACTGGAGGTTATTATGATTAAAAGTAGGAAAGCTGGCAAGGAGAGTTAACAACAACAACAAAATTACATTTGTAAAGGACATTTCACATTGGGAGGATGTTGAAGGAGGAAATAAAGGTGTGAACGTAGAATCCCGTAGTGTAATGGTTAGCACGCTTAGCTCGCAAGCGAGAGGACCTATGTACAATTCCCAGGCGGGGTGAAACCTTAAGCAAGTTTCCTTACTCCATACGCCTCTGTTTATCTAACAGTAGGTAGGAACCCGGTTGTTAGCAACCTGATTAGCAGCTTGCTTTCTGGGATAATAATCCCTCAAAAAAAATTGGTCAATCTCTCCATGACTGTTTGTAGGACATTGCTGTGGCTGCTGGCTGCTGTGTTTTACTTACAAAATACAGTCAATCTACACTATATTCTGTGAAGCACTTTGAGACATCTCAACACTGTGATAAGGCGTTGTATCAAATGCAAGGATTATTATTAATGAGGGTTTTGTTTGTTTTGGGGATGAAGTAAGGTCAGACATATATGAAATTTCAAAGGTCGGGGGAAAAGAGGGAGAAATATCGTCCTTAAAACAACAAAGACAGAGAGAGAGAACTCTGTGCCACTCATACATTAATAATGGTGCAAATGCTTCCAGTAGTCGTGAGCGAAATATCAACAAAAAATTATGCTGATTTAACTATTGACAGCAATTAAAATGTACCTCGTTGATTGGGCTTTTGGTCATCTTTTTCCCTCTCCATCCCCTCGGCTCTCATCCTCAGCTCGGGTGACCATTTAGTTTTGTTGAGCGTTTTGAGAAGTCCTCTTGTGAGGCAATACTATTTACATTTATATAGTGTCTTTCATGTCATTACATGAAAGACGCTATATAAATGTAAATAGTATTGCCTCACAAGAAACTATTAGTTTATGAAATATATGAATATATAGGGCCAAATGAGCTATAATTTTGGGAGAGGCATGATTTGGAATGGCTGGATTTGGCAATGGTTGAGTTAAATCTCATGTGTCCACAGAATTCTTCTGAAAGACATGATACCAGACATTTTTGGTCTCTAGCTGAGTGCTATAACTTGTATAACTCATTGAGCAACAATTCTGTCAAAAAACATCTTTCTATAGAGGATAACAACTTGCATTTATATAGTACCCTTAACACTAGGTAGCATTCTAGAGTGCTTCAAATATAGGACCCCCCTATACCAGCCTCATTGAATCACCTTATGTGTCTCCGTAATTAATATTCACATTATAGATTAGGGCAATGCATTTGTATCATGTACTGGGTATGTACTATTCATGTATGTTATATGACACAAAATAACATTATGGGATATAGTACATAGGTAGTTCAGGACATATATGCATGCGACCGCCACAAAGGTGGGAGGCGAACTAGATGGACCTTGGTCTTTTATTCGGCTAGCATTTCTTATGTTCTTATCTTCTTGTGGAGTCCTGTAGCTCAGTGGTTAGAGCACTTGCTTTGCAAGTGAAAGACCTGAGTTCAATTCCAGCAGGGTGAAACCTTGGGCAAGTTTCCTTACTCCACACACCTAATAATAATCCCTCCAAAAAAACAAAACAATAATAAATTGGTCATTTTCAATCCATGACTGTTTGTGGAACACTGCTGTGCGCAATTGGCTGCCGCATTCGCCCACAAATATACAGTCAATTCACTTTACAGTATATTCTGTGAAGTGCTTTGGGACATCTAGAAGATGTGAAAAGCGCTATATCAAATGCAAGGATTATTATTATTATTATTATTATTATTATGTTATGCTTGGGAACACGGCTACATCATAAAAGGAGGTAGTTGTCAAATATACGTGAGTGAAAACTGTTAAATAGCGGTGATTCAAGTATTTCTCCTTAAAGATCTTATCTCTGCTTTAAGGAGAAAAACAATAAGTGTTTTTAATGCATTTAAGATTGACTGTTTCCTAATTTGCTTTGATTCCTAAAGGACATTTATTACCTGGCTTTGGATAAGGGCGAAATGGCACTGGCTGAAGTGGCTAAGAAAAAAGCTAATGAGATTGACACAGAATCAATAACAACTGAAGTTGGTAAGAATTAATTCCGTCTCTAAGACAAACCTTTTCTATTTAGATCAATCTTAACTCCAACACCTCAAACATAGGTTCAGTAAGATTGATTTAAATTGGTTCCTAGTTAATTTGAGCCTCTTTTAAAAGATTTAGATTTATTTGAATTAAATTTGTAACCCTGAAATTAGGTATTTCACAACCACAATAAAATACCATAAACAGTATCTCATTGCAAAGGCTTATAAATGTTTTGCACTTTAATTGAAGTGGAAATAAATTGAGTTCTGCACATCAAAAAGTACTTATAGTGTTTATTTATAGTGTTCAACATGTCCTGACTGCAAAATAATCCTGGAATAAAATGTTTCTGCTGTAATATAAAACCGACAAATTTCCACTTGAATACCAATGTCGTAGAAGAATAGGTTAAACTTTTGGGGTGACCGAATCCTGCAGCAGGATTAAGACATCTTGCACCTAAAATTCTCTGTCATAAGATGAGCAGGAGGCATCTGTTTGGGCACAAACAGAAATTTCCAGTGTAGCCCCATTTGTGTAACTCACTGTAACTTACTTTATTGTAGTCCTGATTCATGTATAATGTGAATGGGGTATGGATTCTATTCCCTGTGTGTATACGCAGCTGGCCGGCTCTCTTCCCACTTGCTGCTTCCCGTGCTAAATAAAACTGGCCAGCCTTAAAGTCAAGTCATTAGGTGACGTCCACAGTTTACAGGAAGTGACAGAGGCAACCTGATGATGAAAGGCGTCCATTTTTTATTTAGTGTGGAGAGCGGGCCAACCAGCCCTCCAAATGTAATGAAACTGCACTTGCGGGCTCACGACAAAAGCAGCTGAAACCCTTGTCCACACCTCCGCCACTTCCCAGCTGGACTATTCCATTGCCCTCCTCGCTGGTCTCCCCAGCTCCACCATACACAAAATTCAACTAATTCAAAACTCCGCCGCCTGGATTCTCATCCGCACAAAACTCTGTACCCCCATCACACCAGTTCTTGCCAGGCTCCACTGGCTCCCAACTACCGAATGGCTCGATATCAAGATTCTTTCATTTGTTTTCAAATCCTTTCATGCTCTCACACATCCCTACCTATCCTATTTGCTTATCCCCCACTCCCCTACCCGCTGTCACCACTTGCCTGGCTCCGGCCTCCTGTTTGTCCTTCATCCCCTCTGCTTCACCGTTGGTGGCCATACCTTCAGCCACAACGCCCCGAAACTCTTTAACTCTCTCCCTCAATTCCTCCCATACCCTTCCGTCCCCACTTTCAAAGCCCACCTAAGACCTTCCTTTTTGATTGTGCTTATGGCCACATCCCCCTGGTCCAGTGTCAGACACTGTCATGCACTCTGGGACACTATCCCGTGTGAAGTGCATTGTATAAATGCAAGTTATTGTTGTTGAGGGTTCTTATATATTTTTGTTGTTGGCTTTTGAAGGTGCTGATATTGGGGAAGTTCTTTGGTAAACATTATCAGCTATTTGTGGCTCTGTGATAATCTTTTTCTTCAAGAGGAATCGTGGATAGCTATTTAATCATAGTAATCCTTACACTTGATTTAGCGCCTTTTCACGATGGATGGATGTCTGAAAGGGCCTCACATACTGTAGAATGTAGTCGCTGTATGTTAGAGGCGAGTTTGGGCTAGAAATTAATCTTCTACCTGCTTTAATTGTAATTTGAAATTAATATTTTATTCATCAAATAAAAATCTGGATGAATAATTGTACCTTTATTTATCCTGCATTAGTACCAGTTGTCAATTGTGCAAGGCAATGTGTTGTGGATTTTTTTTAAAAAAAAGCTTGATTAATTTGTGAACCATGTAGTCAAATTAAAGCTATTCCAATATTATTCATAGATTAGAGATAAAAGTGGCTTCATAAAGAATTTGGTTATATGGCACATCATTATAATATGCCATCACTTGGACTCCAACGTCGATTTACTGACCCTAAAAATCCAAAATGCATTCGCTGGCTCCATCGGTGCTTCAAAAACTCAACCGACGCAGGAAGCCAAAAAGGTCAGCTTCCGGTTCATCAGGTCTCCACTAAAATCACTCCATGCAGCAACCTGATGATCTGCAAATTGGCCATTTTGGCTTTGCACATGTCAACTGGCTTTTTAAAGTGTTGATGAAGCTGTTTGTCTTTCTGCATGAGCGCACAGTGAATGTGGAAACACCCGTTATAGTGTTGGTTGGAAGTCTATAGACCCCGAACTATCACAATATAATGGGGCTTCACTATGATCACCACATGACCTGAGTATCAACACTGTTAATAATAATGATAATAATCCTTGCATTTGATATAGCACCTTATCAAGTCGTTGGGACATCGCGAAGCCCTTCACAGAATATACTGTAAAATAGATTGACTGTAATTTTGTGGGTGAAATAATGTTTTAAGAAAGATATCTTCATTTACAAAAAAACTTGGAACCAAGCAAGCATTTACTATAAACAATTAAACTGTGTTTTAATTGAAGACTTTGACAACAAGTGACAGGATTTTAAGATGTGTCTATGAGTAACAAGTAGTTCTTGCTGCCCCACGCCCCAACCACCATGGCGCCGGGGTGGCCCTCATATCCAATGTGTCACTTGCCCTACTCCCTACTCCACCGGCTCATTCCCCTCTTTCGAACACCTTACCCTCTGCCATCCCTCACACCTCTCTCTAAAAATCCTCCTAATTTACCGCCCCCCAAAATCCTCTCCCACCTTCATCTCTGACATCTCCACCCTTCTAGCTTCCCTCTGCCTCTGCTCCAACCACCTCATCATCCTAGGCAACTTCAACCTCCACTTCACCCCCTCTTGCTCCACTTCCTCAGACTTCTCTCTCCTCTCTCAACCTCTCCCTCCACATCCACTCTGCTACCCACACCCACGATCACCTGCTCGACCTATTGATCACCCGGGGCCTCAGTGTCACTGACAAGGTCATCTCTGACTACCATTTCATCTCCTTCAACTCCCATATTCCTCTCCCCACTGCCTCCAAACCTACCACCATGTTCTCTGCCTGTGGAAAAAGATCTCCCCGCAGTCCCTCTCCGCTGCCCTGGAGTTCTCTGAACTCCTCCCCCTCTGGCCCACCTCTCGCACTAACCCACTCGCTATGTTTACTCTTCTCCACAGCATCCTCTCCACCACACTCAACGCCCTTGCCCCCCTCACCTCCCGAACTGCCTCCTCTTCCTGATCCTCACCCTGGTTCACCAGCTACCTCCGCTCGCTTATAAGGGCCAGGTGCGGACTGCCGAACGCACTTGGCTCAAATCCGGCCTAACCGTCCACCGCCACATCTGGCTGGACCTCGTCAAAACCTACCTCTCCGCTCTCGCCTCGGCCAAATTGTCCCATTCCAGATTAATCCTGGAGGCGAAGGGCAACCCCAGGCTCCTGTTCTCAACCACCAACCGGCTCTTCTGCCCTCTCCGCCACGCCTCGCAGATTCTTTCCTCTGACTCTCACTGCAAGAAAATGCTGGACTTCCTCAAGTCCAAAATCGAGGGAATCCGCTCAGCTGCCCTCCAAACTTCCACCCCCTCCCTACCCCCACCCCACATAATTACCTATCCGAAAATTACCCATTCCTCCTTCCACCTGTCAACCCCTCCTCTGTCTTCACCCCCATAACCTCCATGAAGTTCACCACCTGCTCCCTGGACCCCATCCCCACCCCTCTCCTTAAATCCCAGTTCCAACTCCTTACCCCACTACTCGCCAACATTATTAACCTCTCCCTTTCATGTGGCACTGTTTCTTCCCCCCTCAAAACAGCCATTATCACCCCCACCTTGAAGAAACCTTCCCTCAACCCATCACAGCTATCCAGCTACCGGCCCATCTCAAACCTCCCTTTCCTATCCAAGGTCCTTGAGAGAGCCGTTGCCTCCCAGCTTCGCTCTTTTCTCTTCTCCCACTCCTTCCATGAACCCCTCCAATCGGGTTTCCGCACTGCCCACAGCACGAAAACTGCTCTGGTCAAGGTCACAATTGACATCCTGACCATGTGTGACCAGGGCTCCCTCTGCCTCCTCGTTCTCCTCGACCTCTCTGCCGCCTTTGACACCATGGACCACTCAATCCTCCTCCCCTGCCTCTCCTCCCACCTCAACCTTCAATGTTCTGTCCTTGACTGGTCCTACCTTTCACACCGCCTCCACTTCGTCGCAGCAAACAGCTTCTCCTTCAGCCCCCACAACGTTTTGTGCGATGTCCCTCAGGGCTCTGTCCTCGGTTCTCTCCTCTTCACCCTCTACATGCTCCCCCTTGGTGACATCATCCGCAGACATGGGGTAAATTTCCACATGTATGCGGATGACACCCAACTCTACCTCTCTGCCTCAACCCTCAACTCCAGGACTACTGGCGTCCTGACCGACTACCTGTCCGACATCAAGTCCTGGACAAGGGACAACTTTCTCCAAATTAACGTCAGCAAGACCGAGGCCCTCCTGATTGGCTCACGCCTCCGCACCTCAGGCGCTGATAGCATCAGCCTCCACAGCTGTACACTCAACCTCACTAAGCCAGTCAGGAACCTGTGTATAATGTTTGACCTTGAATTGTCCTTTCTCCTCCACATCCGCGCCATGACCGGCACTGCCTACCACCACCTCCGCCACATTGCCAGACTCTCCCACTGCCTCACCCCTCAGGCTGCCGAAACCCTCACCCACGCATTCGTCGCATCAAGGCTCGATTATAGAAAATCCCTCCTCATCGGCCTTCCCAACTCTTCCTTTCGCAAGCTGCAGATCATCCAAAACTCTGCAGCTAGTGTACTCTCACGCACCAGGCTCCGCGACCCCATCACTCTGACGCTCACCCGACTCCACTGGCTCCCCATCCCCCAGAGGATCGAGTTCAAGATCCTCATCCTCACTTTCAAGGCTATCCATGGCCTTGCCCCCTCCTACCTCTCTGACCTGCTGACTCTCTACCAACCTGCCCGCTCCCTCCGTTCAGCGGGCTCTGGC